ATAACCATGCAAATTAGTTTGGTACTCTCGATGTCATTTATCATCTCGTTTTAATGTGCCGGTTAGCCACACACGCTCCACTAATCAACGATAACTTTCGAGACACCCATTACCACCCTTTATTAGTCCTCCATTAGTGTGTCGGTTAACCACACACGCTCCACTAACGACTTATAAAGTGTAATGTGCAATTTCATGGATTAGCATACAAATTCACATTTTTCCTAAAGTAACTAAGATTGAGAATTTTATTAAATGAATTTAGTTACTTTATAATTCATTATACTTATTAATGAGGATTATGTGTCATATCAAACCCGTTCGGCTAACGACCCTCCACCAATCAAGGAAACGGAGGGTGAGAGTGGACACCCATTCAACTACCATTTTATAGACAGTTTTCTTATACCTCCTTATAGATCGGCTTCGTGAATGAGGCGTACTAGTGGTTCGATTGACTTAGTCTTATACATATAGTTAGGGCTGTAAACGAACCAAACGAACACGAACGAAACTTGTTCATGTTCGTTCGTTTAAGTTAACCGAACAAATGAACGAACACGAACGGTTAAACGGACGTGTTTTCTTGTTCATGTTCGTTTGTTTAACAAATTACATTGTTCATGTTCGTTCGTTTATGTTCGTGAACATGCTAAACGAAAATAAACAAACGAACATAAACAAACATATATGAACATAAATGAACATATAATATGGTAATGTAATCAAACACAATTAAACATATATGAAGATAAAAGGAAATTATATGAACGAACATGAACAAACGTAAATGAAGAACGTAAACGAACGTTCACGAGCATAATTGAACGAACGAGATCATTGTTCATGTTCGTTCGTTTAACTAAATGAACGAGAATTTGTGTTCATGTTCGTTCGTTTATTAAATAAACGAACATAAACGAACTTCCCGCCGAACGGGTCACGAACAATTCGTTGAACGTTCAGTTCGTTTACAGCCCTACATATAGTAAATCTTAAACATTTAATTTTACATATAGTATAAGGTGTATTTTAAACATTTCAAAATACTAGGTTTAATTACTAAATTTCAAAAATTAAAACATTTAATTTAAATTTAAAATTAAACCATATGATTTAATAATTATCCATTAATTAAACATTTAATTAATTTATTAAATCAATTTGAGGATTATCCAATTAAATTAATCAAGATAATTTAACCCTAATCCTCTCCCCCTAATTTTAAAAAATCATGGGAGGGATAAAACAAATTTTATAATTATCCAATTAATCAAATAAACAGATAATTACCAAAAATAAGATAACCCTACCAAAACCCTAATTTTCAAAAAAGGCTTATTTTGGCGAGGAGGCAAGGATTTCAATCCTTGCCATTTTCAAAACCTAAAAGGGTTAAGGAAACCCTAAAATCAAAAATTGTAAGGCAATGGAAAAGGTTAAAACCCTTTCCTAATTTTCGAAACTTAAGGCTTAAGGAAACCCTAAATTCGAAAATCCCTAAGTTTAAAAGGGTTTAATTGCCATAAACCCTAATTAATCAAATTTAAAAAATTGTAATCAATTCAATAGAAAACAAACCAAAGCTCTGATACCACTGATGGGTTTTGAGAATAACAAACAAAAACCTATGTATGTATGTAACCCTAATTTCTTGATCTATGTTTTCTCTAATTGAACATACAACATTTGAACATCAATTGGGAAACCCTAGGAATCCTATACTATTTTCGAAATTAGCATATAGGGTTAGAAAACATATCTTTGATTGTTATTGAAGAATAATAAGAATTCCTTGTGTTGTTGAAGCCTTGAGAGCAAGCACCACAAATGTCATGCATCTAGTGGTTCATAGCCAACACTAGCAAGAATATGAGAGAGGAGAGAGGAGAGGGGAGATGATATTTTTGGCTATCTCTTGAAGGGTGTAGAATGACCGAAAATCCTAGGGTGGAGAGGCCTTTATATAGTGCACCAAGGATGCTCTGGATAACCCTAATCTGAATATAATAATATTATTTCAAATTCGGTAATTATCCACCTCCTTAATTATCCATATGAGATATTCTAGAAACTCTAGAATTATCTCATAAAACCATCCACCTCATTCCCTAGGAAGGTTCTGGAACCTCTTGCTCAACTATTAAACAATTGCACTTTAGCCCCTGCACTTTTAACTAATCCCTTTAATCCTAAAATTAATTCCAATTAATTTATGATTAAATATTAATTAAATATTGCTATTTCTAATTAATATACTATTCTCATAATATATTAAAAAATTATTTAATCAAATAATAAATTCAACATCTTTCTCCAAAAGTCATCCTGTCTAGTTGCTAGTTTTGAGGGCAACCCAAAAGGACTGTGCTACCATCAATTCAAATATATACCAATTATAGTTATGGGCTTAGACACCTAATCCAACATCACACGTATATTATGTTCTGCAACCTTGCGATCTCATATGACCATGTCAGGACTTGCAGTATTAGCCAACACCTCTTAAGTACACCAAATGTTGGTTTTATGTGCTTCCTATCTACTTCTTGGGCCGTCTTAAACTTTATTTTTTTCGTTGTTTGGACATGTGAACGATTTCACAAATATATATAAGCTAGGATATATCCCATCAGTAAGATAGTACCCACGCTTATATGCTAGTCGTTGTTTGTTGTTGGGGGGCCAAAAAATGCATGCCATATCCAAAGATCAGGGTCACGATTGCTTCTAGAAATTGGCTCTTTATGATCACATCGCATGTATTGACCGCGCCATGCATTAGGCACAATGCCCAGGAATAATGCATGCAATCGATGCTACCTAGCATATCAAAGAACCCATGTTTGTTTTCATGCACCGTGTACAATTGGTGGACATCGTTGATCGTAGGTTTGCGTAAATATCAGTCATCGTTAACAAAAATAACAACTTTAGAAAACTTGTGGACACTTTTCCATGTGGTCCGCTTGGACATTCTCAAACACTCATCCTATTTGTCTGCTCGTATGTTGTATGCTAACTAACAAATTATGGTTGTGCATTTTTATATCGGAGAAAAACTTTTTCTATATCGTGCATCCCATTTCAACTGAAAATATGGAAAGCGACCCTGCGAATTGATCAACAATACATAGAAATAACTATTTCCTCATTCAGAACTGTCGTTTAAACTTTTTAGGGTACACAATATCATTAGCAAAGTAGTCTTCTATGAGACAATTATGCACAACTTAACGATTTCTCTTGAAAGGACTTCTTGTTTTAAAACGCGAGCTTTGAGCTTCTTGGTTTTTATAATACACACTTGTTTTTCTCATAACATTCCCGATAGACATTGTTTCTCGTAATGCCAACGTATCCGACGAAGTAGATGATGGCCATGACATTGTAGTTGAATGCATTTGTGAGAGAAAATGTAGAAAATGGTGTGAGATTAAAGGTTAAAGTTTGTTGGTAGTTATAGAGTGGTAAATAGTTTAAAAAAATAACCGTTAGTTTCAAAATAAAAAAAAATTAAATTAAAAGTTTGTAGCCGTTGGAGGAGAAAATAGACGAGAAAGAAAGGAGAGAGAGTGTTATGTATCTTCATTGTGCGTTTCTTCATCGTGGCTACAACATACTGACAATGTAGTATTTCGTTGTTCAGCGAAAATGTCAGCTCACCCTAGCACATCATCAAGTTGGGGTATTCCCTCCAACCTCATCAACAAAATATGTGAATTCTCTTTTCCAAAATTTTACAATATTATTTAACAAAAAAACCAAAATTTTAGGTGCATGTTCTATAAAACTAAACGACATTGTATAATAGACATGATTTTAATCACATTGGTTATTTATTTGATTAATTATTTAAGATCTTTTTGATTTTTGTTGCAGTTAGTTGTGTAGTTACTTGGTGGATTCAACTCTCTAAATATTCTTTTTCCTATTATATGTTGCAAAAGTGAAGAAGTCAAGCATGTCACACATCAGTTTTTTTTTTCTTTTCTTATTTACACCATCCACTCACACAATACATGAAAATTCATCTCGCATATCCATCCCAACCTAAACACATTTTGGTACAAATTTTCATGTATGCAATACAACTAACCAAAGCTTGAGCTAAGAACTGGTGGAACGAGTTAATTTACCATTGAATCATGAAAATATGTGGTACTACGAAGGGAGGAAATGGTGTTCCTTGTGGTAGTGTCGGTACCTCCCAAAAATCTTCAAACCTCTATCCAACCCTAATGTTTGCATATATCTTCACTTCAATAAGTCCACGTATTGATTTGATAGTTTTATTGCTTTATGCAACAAAAAACTAAACTAGAAAAAACCAAACAAAATCGATTTTTCTGGGACTATATATAAACGACATTTTTAACAATTTATTTCACTTAAAAAAAAAGAAAAAAAAAACTACTCACTCAAAAAACTCTTTTATAAATAACATAAAACAAACATTTGTCCCTTTATTAAAATATGGGTTACAATGCTTGGCGTTCAACACAACATTGGGCACACGTCTTTAACCATAAATGTGAAATGGTCATATGACAGATTCCTCAATCCCCCCATGTTGTCTTGTCTCCTTACCAACCATTTCACACTTCATAAATGCCCACGTTTCAGCTTTTAAATAACACTGTATATCCATTAATTTCCATTCAAATAATATATAACTTCTTTTATATATATACAGTAATCTACTTTTAATGATGACATTTTTATCACTTTTACAAAAATTATTAACATATTTTAAATGTAATCAGCTCAAAAAAGTTAAGATATGTTCTTTGAAATACCCGTATAGCATATGGTGCGAGAGTAATTGATTTAAATAATACAAGACTTCATTTTAACTAATTGCATTGAATTTATGAATAATTTATTAATATGATTGTTATTATTATTCTATGTAATATACTATTACATACAATGTCAACAACATTCTATTTTTCTCTCTAATGCACTTTCATCATATTACAATTTACACAAAATAGCAACATAATATATTTTTTGTCCATTGATAATATAATAATTATGTATACATTTACCATATCACTACAAAATTCCACACATCTACAACTTCAATAACCTCTAACCTCTATACTAACCTACAACTAAAACCGAACCAAATTTGGCCCTGAAACCGCATATGTATACATTATATCACCAATTAAATATGTGGAGTCCTTGATTTTCTCTGTCTCCAAAAGAATTTCTTCTGATATCCATCTTATAAATCCCTCCCTATAACTATACATTTGAGGGTCACAAAAAAAAACTCCCGAGCCCTTTTAATCGTCTTCTTTAAAAACACTAAATATAAAATCCCGAAAACGTTTCGCGTATTGTATCGGGTCAACAGCCGAGATAGAAGTCGGGTCAAACTGGAATGATTTATACGCATGTTCAAGCTTCTTATTGATGTCATAATTTTGTAGTATATCTATTATACCAAAAAATAATATGACATCATAAAATTCCCCCATTGCTTCTCCAACTAATTGATTTTGATGACTTCTAACCATGGATTCAACCCGTGCTGGCATGTTCATTCCAAGCCTCACAGATGCCCACCTGCATCAACAGCGACTTAATACAAAAAGCCAAAAAAAATAATAATGTTTTTTTTTTTGTATTTTATTAAACATTATTTATCCAGACAACACTTAATGTGAAAAAAGAGATTTTACCTTGTGGGATTGAGAGAAGTGATAGAAGTGTCAGTATCGGCTGAAGAAACCCTAGGAGAAGTCCCTGTGCTATTCGGCTCAGAATTTAAATTTTCTAATTCTTGGTTGGATTCACGAAAGCTTACACCAACTAAAAGACTATAATCCATAATTCTTTCGTGTTCAAGAAACTCGAGGTCTTTCTCCACTTGCCTGCATCAAACCACAATCTACTCAGACAACAACAGACAGTAGCCAGTAGACAGTAGACAACAGACAGATTGATTTAAATAAAGAACAGGGAAAAGGTAATAAGTTCACCTACAGAAGTCTTGAAACCAATCATTCTGCAAGCGGAAGATGAAATTAAGATCAAGATCTTTGAGAGTGGTATTTGCATCGATTTGAGACTCGGGTTTATCTGTTATTCGCCCATGTGAAGATCCTTTCAAGTCAAACCGCCTGTTAATCCGTACATTCGTATGGAACAAATTTCCCATGATAACAAATCGCACCTGGATCATTAATTAATACAAAACCATGAGTATCGATATTTTTGTAAATTTGTATCATTTTTATTTTCAATCATACCTTTTTTTGAGAAGTTCCACTCAACTTCACACAATGTAATCCAAAAAACTTGGTCACAAGAGTGTTTTCATACGCTTTCACATGCTCAAAATACGATGGAAGCATCCTCTTTAGTACCTAAAATAGTTATTTGTCACTTCTCATGAAAATTTTGATACATATGATGAAATAAAAAGTGGAATAGCTGGATTAAAATTGACTCACTTTGACTTCTGCTTTTTTCATTGTCTTGATCATGTACTTGTCATCATGTGTCATGTAAAAAAAGCTTCCACTTTTTCCAGGTGAAGATAACTCCCGAAGAGCCTCATCCCCACAAATCGATAACATGTATTCAGCTGGATCCACATTGAACAGTTTCCTTAAAGTCCTGAAAACGAATGGACAGTAATCTTTCCATCTAAAATCACATGATTGGTGAGGTGGCGTATGTTTGGAACCTTCCGGAGGAAATTTTGTCCATAACTTTTCTTCAGTATCAAAACCCGTAGCCTTCAAATCAACAGATTTACTCGGTGCAGGTCTCCCTACAGAATGTCTGCAATTACACCATTGATTAGTTAATAAGAAACATGAATATATATAGATATAAATTTTTACAACTATAAAAACTATGTTCTTTTACCTTATTCCAAGCTGTAAATTGAGCATGAGTTCATAATTCTTGTGACCTTTGCATATTGTGACACCTTGTCTCTCTACTGGTTGTAGATTAATTCCTAAACCACGAATACATTCTTCATGATTTGTGACTCTTTCATCAACAGAAACAGATTGTCTTCTACCTTTGTTTTCATTTTTGGAATTTATCCTAATTTGTTGTTTGTGATGCTTGTGATGTTTGCTTTCACCTTTTGACCAACTAAACATCTTCTCAGAAGGGAATACAGAAGGGGATTCCGCCTCATGAACCACACATTCACTCATTTCAACTGAAAATAACAAAAGAGGATCCAAATCTTTATGAGAACTCGGTAATCCACCTTCCCAATTCCCATCAAACCGATTTCCATTACTCCAAATCATGATTCCATTCCCATTCATCTTTCCCTTCTTCCATTGCCCTATATACTGATGACCACTATTCCATTGATATGTCCCTTGTCCATCTTGTAATCCCTTTCTCCAATTCCCTTCATAGTGATCACCATTACCATAACTCTCTTTCCCTTTTCCATGTTTCTTGTTCATCACCCAAAAGCCTTTGTAAGTATCATTTAAAGAACCTGTAAAAGTACCCTCACCATCTATATAACTGTTCTTGAATTGACCTTCATAAGTAGCACCTGAAGGCCAACTAAATTTGCCTTTACCATTACTCTTACCTTTACACCACTCACCAACATACATACACCCATCTGACCATAAGTACTTTCCATCTCCATGAGGGTAGTTTTCTGCAACCCATTGACCAATATAGATGTCGCCATTGGAGAAGATCTTTTCGACATGGGAAACTTCTATGTCACTAGCTTCCTCGTCTACATGGGCTACAGACATTGTTGTGAACATAGTCGCTGCTCTTTTCTTAGCAGATGCCTGTGATTTCTTAACTTTCACTTCCCAGGCCTTCAGAACGTTGTTCATCGTTTCTTTCTGTACAAATTGGTATGTTATGTGGATTTGTTGCTTGTTAACTTACATACAATACAGTAACGCTGTTAACCGAGATCAAATTCTCCTTGTTTCATCAAAGTAACTCTCAGGCGCATTACAACAAACATCTGTAACGCAACCCAAAAAGACACAAATCTAGGATAACGCGAGACAAACCCAAATCCCAAAACAGAAACGAGAGTGTGATAATGATGAAACTCGTAAAAGAAACAAAAAGGAGATGACGAAGAAAAGAATGTCAGAAGCAATTCTTGAGATTGCAAGAGGGGTGTGTATCAGATTTGGCAGATACTAACTGGGGTACCTGTGTTTTCTAATTTACAAATGAATGTGCCGAGCTGTTCCATTCCATTGATTCCAAAAGGCAAAAAGCTGTAAATGGAATCAAAGCATGACTTTTTCCGTCGATATTTTTTTATTTAGAAGTAAATTTTTGCAGGGTGGTGGTGGTGGTGGTGGGGCTAAGGATTGGAGAACACAATGTTTCTTGATACACCCCTTAAGAAACAAAGAAAAGGATGCGTATTTGATATGTCGTTTTTTTTTTTTACTCTACTCGTATATATAATTATACATTACATTCTATTTTATATTATATATATAAAATACAAAACGGGGAATGTTTAAAAATTATTTTCAAGGAGATCGAGGATAACCAGTCGTGTATGACTTGCAATTACGATAATTTATTTAAAACATGTTTTCATGGAAAGATAATAAAGATTAATTGTGTATCTTAGATTAGATTAGTATATTAGTTTATTCTTATGATTAATCGTGGCAATATAATACCAATTTGGAATACTTACCAAAATTTTAATCTTACTTTATTCACGAAATATAATTGATTTAATTGGATTCAATTTCCCTATATATTTCCTGTAATACGCGGTGATGTTTACAGTATCTTCTTGAATGTTCATTTGAAATTATTTATTTGCCTTTATTAAATCACATTATCACATGCGAGTTTATAATGTTGATATGGATCCATAAAATCTGCTTTTGGATAGTTACGAAGTATTTTATAATAGAACAAAATTAAATTATATTAATTAGAACTTTTAAAATTTTATGATACGGATCTCATCATTTGGTTTATGGATTGGCGAAGAAGGAAAGATATGTAAGATATATTTTTTTTAATTGTCGTGTTGAAGACATGTTAACAAAGTCGTGGGATAATAATTATTTAACAAACATTTTTCATGTATATATAGAAAAAAAATTGGTCACGATAACAAAAAAATATGGTGAAAAACTGACAACATCATAATAATCAGATTGTGGTGAGATATGCGTAATCACATAAAAAACATCGGCATTAATTACTTAATTGTTATATAAGAAGATTAAAGACATTGTCTAATCTTCCAAAAAATAGTTGTAACTTGTAAGAGCATGATGATCATTTCATTTGAACCATAAACCAACACTCCCTCCCAGGTCCTCAACTTTCTTTAATATATGGTATTCTTGATTTTGAACCATAAACCAACATGTGTTATTCTTGTTTTTGTAATCTAAACTTTCTTTGATATATATTATTCTTGAATCTTGATTTTGATAATCAAATTGAAATAAGTTTGATGCAGAATAAAACAAGGAATGAATTTTTGGAACATGTAATGAAATGTTTATGGGTGTGAAAGACACCAGCACTTTGAAGTGTGTTTAGGTAAAAGGAAAAATCTCTCAAAAAATCTTGAAGTTTTGGTTTTTAGTCGCAAATTATTTTTTAATGAAAAATTACAGGATACACGGCTAATGTAATCAATTTGATCATTTTTAACCTACTAGACGTGCAACACTGTCATGTGGCACGTCAAACTGAAAGGGTTGTTAATGTGGCATCCTTAGCTTAAATAATGTATCAAACGCGTGTGTGACTTTCATTAAGTTATCCTTCACACTTATATATAATGTACTAGTTGTGAAACTCATGTAAGTAACGCTCGTGTTTCTAGGCTAGACATTAATATTGACGTTATAGTCTAGGTTAACATTTGTAACTCATTTTGAAGAAATGAAAAGGAATTATGTGAAAAATTATGTGTTTTATGTTTAATTATTAGGGTTTAATTAATTAAGAATAAAAATGAGCGTCGAAAATAA